CATAAACTCTTTTCTAGTTAAAGTATACTCTAGATCATCCTAAATTGTCACGCCTCGAGGCTACCCCCTAGATGCAACATGAGACCTAGGATCACAAGTGACCCCAAGCTAACCCTACTGGCATAATCATGAGCATACTAAATATAAACTGAGAAATAAAACTGATGCGGAAGCTAATCATAAAGTAAATTTGAAATGATGGGGAATACCCATATACTAAAACTGAATATATCAAATCTGAGAGTTTAATACAAAAGAAATATCAAACTCGAAATACTAAGCTGAATCTAACTATGTCTGAAAATAGCCTCTAACTGACTAGAAGTGCTGGGACATGCCCCAACTAAGTCTAGCAAAACTAAAACTAAAAGACTAAAATACTGAAAAGATAACATGACTATTGTCCTCGAAGAATGAGGACTCACCACTGATGCTGCTGAAGTGGAGATCGGGGACCGATCTAAGCGTGATCTGGATGCTGAGAACCTGAACCTACATCACGAGAAGATGTAGCGCAGATTATGCGTCAATACTTGAAAGGTACTGAGCATGCAGGATAGAGTAAAGCAGAAATAAACATATAATTAAACAAGCAATAAAGCAAGAGTATAATCTGAACATGATGTAGATACTGAATACTGAGCTAACTGAATGCAATGACCAAATGATAACATGCTGATACTAAATACTGACTATACTGAAATGTGGTCAATGCAATGGAGTCTGACTGAACTGTAGGAGCTACTAATAACCGATAATAAAACCGCACGAACTAAATATGGAGTCCGATGTATACGCCCCATTGAGAGTACCCAATACACCCGACCAAAGGTGTAGAGGCTTGTTGGCGTGATGACTAAAATGATTCCCACAGAGGGGACCTACAACCTATGTGACTGGTAGTTCTGGGACTATATAGGTGACTGACCCTATTCCAACTCCATATTATGCTACTCCCAATAGATTACATGATTAACACATTATGATTGAATTACTAAAATATACTGGATAAGTCAAAACTGACATGCAAACTGAGAATGCACATTTATATACTGATAATGACACATTCAAACTGAGGCATATATATTTGAAATACTAAAATATCTGACCTAGCATGTGTAATTCAAGAACTAAAGAACTACGAAGATAAGGTTCTGAAATTCATGCAAGAGCTGAAGTAATAACATGATAATCTGATTTGGAACATATAAATAACTAATTCATGATAATCTACTGAAGTTCTAGAAACCCTAGGTCTAGTTAATAATAGGGAATCAAGAATCTGACTGAAATATAGGGACCTAATGGGTGAAAGGAACCCACTAGTGAAATCCCACATACCTGGTGATGAATTCCACGGAGAAATCTTTCGATTTTGGGATGGAACTGATGGAATCTTGTTGCGTTCTTGAACTAGGGTTCTTGACCTCTTTTCTCCTCTTATGCTCTAATTTTTCTAAGTTTGATTAATGATTTGACTTAGGTAAGTTCTAGTTATGTTTCTAGGCTTAAACTAACTACAACCACATAATTTAGGGTCTAAAAGACATAGTTTAGGGGTCAAACGAATAAGGAAAAGACTAAAAAACTCCCAACTTAACTGCTATTGGAGTGACTGGCGGACGGGACTGCCAGACCATCGATTGACTGACGATCCGTGCTGGTCATCTGTCGATCAGTATTGGAGGCTGAAATTTGGGGGTCTGACCTACGGCCCTGAACCATGGACCGTGGTCTGACCTAAGATCCGTAGGTCTTGGCGTGGGTCTACCCTTAGCCAAATTTTTGGGCTGGGTTCTAGGGGAGGTTTTAGGTGTGAACCACGGACCACCAGAACAGGCCGTGGGTCACCCTACGGTCCGTGGGTGGTGACCGTGAGTCACACCTGCAACTTCTGGAAATCTGTTTTGAGGTCCGTTTTCGGATACGGGGTGTTACATTATCTCCCCCTTGGAAACATTCATCCTCGAATGAAGACTAACTAGCTGAAATGGAGGGAGAGGGCTGCAATCCCTACCACTAAAATACTGAAACTGATTTCTGACTGAACTAAATTCCAAGAACCCGCAAATACGCTGAAAATGCAAGTACAAATTAAGGGACATGATATTAAGACAGAATCTGCGCATGAATAACTGAAAAACTTAAGAGGAACTAATACCTCAAGCTGGATTTGAATCAGAAGGAAAAAGGTGAGGATACTTGGACTTCATGGTTACTTCTGCTTCCCAAGTAGCTCTCATCCACAAAACCTTGACTGAAGCGACTTCTTTGTTTGTCAATCTTCTAACATGACTATCAAGAATCTCAACTAGTACATCCTCATACGAAATACTATCTTTCACAGCCACATTCTCTGATGGCACTATGGATGCTGGATCACCCACACACTTTTTCAATAGTGAAATGTGAAAAACTGGATGCACTGCTGCTAATTATGCTGGAAACTCTAACTCATAAACCACTTTACCAATCCTTTTCAGAATCTTGTAAGGACCTACATATCTAGGACTGAGCTTCCCTTTCTTGCCAAATCTCATCACCCCTTTCATATGTAACACATTCAAGAAAACCCAATCATCAACTTGGAACTCTAGTTCCCTTCTCCTTACATATGCATAAGACTTCTAGCGACTCTAGGTTGTCTTAAGTCTATCTCTAATGAATTGCACTTTCTCCATCGCATAATGGACTGAGTCTGGCCCTATCAAGGCTTCTTCACCTACTTCAAACCAACCAACATGAGATCTACACCTACTCTCATACAATGTCTCATAAGGGGCCATCTGAATGCTGGAATGGTAGCTATTATTGTAGGCGAACTCAATAAGAGAAAGGTGATCACCATAACTACCTTTGAAGTCGATCACACAAGCTCTCAACATGTCTTCTAAGGTTTGAATGGTACTCTCTGCCTGAACATCCGTCTGTGGATGAAATGTTGTGCTAAGATTAACCTGAGTACCAAGATCTTTCTGAAATGACTTCCAGAAATGAGAGGTAAACTGAGGACCTCTATCTGAGATGATAGACAAAGGAACCCCATGCAACGTGACATCTCATTAATGTAAAGCTTGGCATAGTCCTCTACCGAATCTGTAGTCTTGACCGCCAAAAAGTGAGAAAACTTAGTGACTCTATCAACTATCACCCAAATGGAGTCATGCTGTCTGCGAGTACGAGGTAAAACTGTGATGAAATCCATGTTGATCACTTCCCACTTCCAAGTAGGAATCTCGATCTCTTGAGTCATACCCCCTGGTTTCTGATGTTTTACCTTCATTTGCTGACAATTGAGGCACTTAGCCACAAAATCTGCTATATCCCTCTTCATGCCATTCCACCAAAAGACTTCCCGCAGATCACGGTACATCTTAGTGGCGCCTGGATGAATAGAATACCTGGAGTTATGGGCTTCTGCAAGAATTTGTTGTCTCAACTCGCCTACATTAGGAACACATAATCGGCCCTGGTAGCGAAGCACACCATCTCCTCCTTAGAAGAATACCTCAACCTTATGTTAATGGGCTGCACCCTTGAGTTCGAGCAATATCAGATCATTGTCTTGCTTTTCCTTAACCTCCACTACCAATAAAGATTATGATCCATTTTGAACTATCACACCACCATCTGATATGCTCATAAGATGAACTTTTAAACTCACCACTGATGTTGCTGAACTGGAGATCGAAGACCGATCTAAGCATGATCTCGATGCTGAGAACATGAACCTACATCATGAGAAGATGTAACACAAAGTATGCGTCAGTACTTGAAAGGTACTGAGCATGCAGGATAGAGTAAAGCTGAAATAAACATATAACTGAACAAGCAATAAAGCAAGAGTATGATCTGAACATGATGTAAATACTGAATATTGAGCTAATTGAATGCAATGACCAAATGATAATATGTTGAGACTGAATACTGACTATACTGAAATGTGGTCAATGCAATGGAGTCTGACTGAACTGTGGGAGCAACTAATAATTGATAATAAAACCACATGAGCTAAATGTGGAGTCCGATGTATACGCCCCATCAAGAGGACCAATAAACCCGGCCAAAGGTGTAGAGGCATGCTAGGGTGATCACTAAAATGATGCCCACAGAGGAAACTTGCAACCTACGTGTTCTGGAACTATATAGGTGACTGACCCTAGTCCAACTCGGTATTATGCTACTCCCAATAGATTACATGATTAACACATTATGATTAAATTACTAAAATATATTGGATAGCTCAAAACTGACATGCAAACTGAGAATACACATTTATATACTGATAATGACACATTCAAACTGAGGCATGTATATCTGAAATATTGAAATATCTTACCTAGCATGTGTAATTCAAGAACTAAAGAACCACCAAGCTAGGGTTTTGAAATTCATGCAAGAGACGAAGTAATAACATGATAATCTGATTTGGAACATATAAATAACTAATTCATGATAATCTGCTGAAGTTCTAGAAACCCTAGGTCTAGTTAATAATAGGGAATCAAGAATCTGACTGAAATATAGGGACCTAATGGGTGAAAGGAACCCACTAGTGAAATCCCACATACCTGGTGATGAATTCCACAGAGAAATCTTTCGATTTCGGGATGGAACTGATGGAATCTTGTTGTGTTCTTGAACAAGGGTTCTTGACCTCTTTTCTTCTCTTACACTCTAATATTTCTAAGTTTGATTAATGATTTGACTTAGGTAAGTTCTAGTTATGTTTCTAGGCTTAAACTAACTAAAACCTCATAATTTAGGGTCTAAATGACGTAGCTTAAGGGTCAAACGAATAATGAAAAGAACAGAAGACCCCCGACTTAACTGCTGTCAAATTAACTGATGGATGGGATTGGTGGATCGTCGATCGACTGACGATCCGTGCTAGTCATCATCGATCAGTACTGGAAGCTGAAATTTGGGGGTCTGACATACGACCCTGGACCACAGACTGTGGTCTGACCTACGGTACGTAGGTCTTCGCGTGGGTCTACCTTTAGCCAAATTTTTTGGCTGAGTTTTGGGAGAGGTTTCAGGTGTTAACCACGGACCACCAGCACGGGCCATGGGTCACTCTACGATCCGTGGGTGGCGACCGTGAGTCGCACCTGCAACTTCTGGAAATCTGTTTTGAGGTCCGTTTTCGGATACGGAGTGTTACATAAATAGTAACTATTCCTCTACCCTCTATCATGGACTATTTACAAGATTATTATTCATCGGTCTACTCATAAAGGAAAACTCATAATTAACAACTTACTGAGTGCATGCCCGCAACAACAAACTTTGCCTCATCACTATATCTATTTTATAGATTACTATACCTCTGCATATTTTTCTCTGAGAACTTTATTTCTACTGCTTATAACATTGTAACTCATACTAACTTTTTTGGGTGAACTACCCAAGCTCTAAAACACACTTCCTCATAAGGATCTTAGCTGAAACAAGATTTAGAGAAAAAAGTCTGGAATACATCTCTCTCTTAGCTCGAACGCACGATTCATATGAATAAGAGTGCATTATTTCGAATTTCAACACTTAAGCTCACTTGTAGGCTTCTCTTATGCCCTTCTGCAGTCTTAAGAATTTCTCAAGACTTTTGCTGAGAGTAACTCATCGATAATGATCTGGGATTCGTTTTTCAACTACCATGAGTATGGGTATAGTCAAATGGATCTGAGAAACGCATGAGTTTGAATAAGTTCCTTATGACAAAGTTCTATTGCACGATTTAGAGTATGAAAGAAGGGAAACTTTTCATAAATTTATGTAGTCCCTCATTTATAGAAGTGAGACCCTCACAACCACAAATAAGATCCTCCTGACATGGCTCCATAGACACCCTAGGACACTTGAACTATGTGCTCTAATACCAAGCTTTTCACGACCGACACCTACACCCTGGACGTGACCGACACTTGAGAACCATTACTAGTCCCCAAACGAACCCTCATCCTAGCTGACTACAAGAGAAAGACTAACTTGAGCATACATAAGCATCAAATTGAAAGAAACGTTTAAAAATAGTTTACTGAATCTCAAAACTGAATTGAATATGCCGAGTATGAAACATAAGTTTTAAATAAAACATCTAAAATTGAAAGACTCTCCAAAATTGTCTATCTATGAAGCATCTACTGTATATAGATGAGTGTTGGGACAAGACCAACGACTACTCAAAACAACTAGAAAATAAATGTGAAGTCCCCCGAAATGCAAGGAGGCTCACCCAAACTATCTGACGTGCAAAATGATCTCAACGAAATGCATGTTGATGATGCTAAGAACATGTATCTGCGTTGTTAAATAAAAGATGTTGGTCGAATGACATCAGTACATTGAATGTACGAGTATGTAATATATAACTGAACAACAAATAACAGAACTGGTAAGACTGCAATAAATAAAACATAAACTCAATTGAATGTAAAATATTTAAGGAATGAAATCATTTAAAACTTTACAAAAACACTTACTCATCTCTGAACCTCAACATAATAAGTGATATAATAAAAATACACTTTTTAACTCTATTTGGGAGATTTTCTAACCGACAACCATCACAATGAGCTACGTGATGATACAACGTCTCGCCCACGCTGCCAGAATTGTCCTATACCTTGGCAGCATGGGCGAATTTATGTATTAAAATTTGGTCACCGGAACCCGTGGTCATCTGACTAAACTCGATATATTACTTTTATAATTATTAAAGAATATATTAAATAAAAACTTGTGGAATCCGTTCACAAAATTGCTGAATGGTTTAGCGGTTTGACAGGCAGATTTCAACACCAAGGTCCCGAGTTCAATCCCAACCAACCACAATATGCTTCAAATTTTTTTATTAACTAAATACATGTTCTTCAAAAAAAAAAAAGTGATATTCTGAAAGTTCTAAAGCCAAAAGACTTCAAAAGTTTCCTTCCCACCCACTTTTCAAGTTCTAATAATTTTTCTCTCTCTCTTCAAATTTCCCTTTTATTTTCGGCAAAAAGAAGCTCCAAGTCTCCAACTTCAAGTCAAGAATCTAGAAAAATCATCATTGTAAAAGTTTAAGGTAATTTTTTTTAGTTTATAATTTCTCTTTTTAATAAACAAACTAACAAAATCAAATTTTTTTTAAATATATCACTTTAATTTTAGGGTTTCCATAGAAAAAATATTGCCATTTCTTATAATAGGAAATCATCAAGAGTTAATGAATTGATTATCTCAAACTTACAAATTTTGCGGATGTAACTTTTAAGGAATGTATTTTATATTATATTATCAATTTTGAGGGTGTGATTCCCTTTTATTTAATTTAAAAGGGATATGATTCTCTTATTTTTTTTAATGTGAAAGGGGTGTGATTCCTCTTCTTTATTATGAATACGTGATTCCGAATGCAAAAGAGGTATAAGTCCTCTTTTTATTATGAATGTGTGATTTTATTATTGTTATATGTGAAAGGGTGTGATTCCTCTATTTTAGTTAGATTTGCAAGGATTGTGATTCCTTTATTTTATTTGAACTTGCAAGGGTGTGATTCCCTTTTTTTTAATTGTGAAAGGTATGTGATTCTCTTATTTTATTTTAAATTTTCTAGTTAAATTTGTGACTAAGTTGAATAGTTATTTGAATTTGTAGGAACAATTATCCTTGAATATCTAAATGGATAAATTTTTGATTAAGCAACCACGTTCTAGTAGTGATCCATCTGTTAGTTCACATGTAGCTCTGGAAGCTCAAAGAGAGACAATTACACCTTCTTCTTCAAATGTTGATTGTATTCTTGAGGTTGGATATCTCAAACGGGATCCCGGAGAAAGAAAATCCATCTTGAATATGATCCCAATATTCGAGATGTTGTGAGGAGACATTATATTTTGATGGGGCCTTATCAACCAAAACATCGTGTATATCCTAAAACAACATTTGGGACTAGGAATCACCAATTTAATCCTAAGTGGTTTAATGCTCCAAATTCTGTTTGGTTGGAATATAGCATAAATGATGATGCTATATTTTGTTTGTGTTGTTAACTCTTCAAGAATGAATTTGAAAGTCGTGGCATTGCGGAAAAATTATTCACACAAGATGGTTTTAAAAATTGGAACCATGGTCTAGAAAGAATTTGATTGCATGTTGGTGAAGTAAATAGTATTCATAACAAATTTTTGAATATGATGCTTGATTTTGCGAATCAAAGTCAATCAATTCAATCTTCTCTTCACAAGAAAAGTGAACAAACAAAAAGTGATTATCGAATTTTTTTAAATGCCTCAATCTATGTGGTAAGGTTTATCCTAAGAAATGGATTACCATTCCGTGGTCATGATGAGAGTGAAGATTCCGATTACAAAGGTCTTTTTCTTGAACTTTTGAAATTTCATGGGGTTAATCGTCCGGATGTGGAAAAGGTGATATTACAACATGCTCCAAAATATGATATGATGATTTGTTCAACAATTGAAAAAGAGATTGTGGATGCTTGTACTAACGAAACAATTAAAGCTATCATCAAAGACTTGGATGGTGATGATTTTGGAATATTAGTTGATCAGTCAAAGGACATTTCACATAAAGAGAAAATGACACTAGTTTTATGATATGTTAACAAAAATGGAGAGTTGATAGAAAGATATTTGGGTAGTGTTCATGTGAATGATACATCCGCAAGATCATTGCAAAAAGTAATTTACTCTTTACTTTTGGATCACTCGATATGCCTACAAGACTCCATGGACAAGGTTATGATAGAGCTAGTAATATGCAAGAATTAAAAAAATGGCCTAAAGTTTTTTATTTTGTGAGATGCTCCGTCTACATATTATATTCATAGTTTTACTCACCAATTGCAATTGACACTTGTGAATTTTTCTAAAAAAACATCCGGATATAAAAAGTTTCTTTATGTTGTCACTAATCTTTTGAATACTATTAGAACATCTTTTAAATGTAGAGACTTACTTCGACAACACCAAGTTGAAAAGTTGGAAGACTTGCTTAAATCTGGAGAAATTCTTACCAGGAAAGGATTAAATCAAGAATGTGGCCTCCAGCGACCAGGGTGATACTTGTTGGGGATCCCATTTCAAGACCTTGGAAAATTTCATGATTATATTTTCTTCAATTGCTAATGTGCTTAAAGATATGAATGAAGATTCTCCACATGATCTTGATAAACGTGCATCAGGTAACCTTTTAGATAAAATTCAAGAATTTGAATTTATCTTTGTGTTGCATTTGATGTTCAAGATGTTGCTTCTAAATGAATTGAACAAAGCTTTACAAAAGAAAGATCAAGATATCGTCAATGCTATGGGATTGCTTAATCTTTTAAAGAGAAGATTACAAACAATGAGAGAGAGTAGTTTGGAGTCTTTGATGGATGAGGTTTATTCATTTTGTGGTAAACATGATGTTTTGATTCTCGAAATGACTGAAGACTATCCAAGATCGAAGCGTAAGAAGCCCGAAGTTTCATATTTACGTCACTTTCGTGTGGAAGTGTTTTATGCAGTTATTGATTTGCAAATTCAGGAGCTCAATAATCGTTTTGATGTTGTGACTAGTGACTTACTCCTTGGTATGGCTAGTTTGAATCCGATTGATTCATTTGTTAATTTTAGAAAGAGAAGAATAATGAAGTTGGCCGAATATTACAAAAGTGAGTTTGGTGATAATCAACTACGAGATCTCAGTTATCAGCTCGATAGTTTCATTGTCTATGCTCGAGAGTGTGATAGCAAGTTTCTCAACTTGAAGAGGATTAAGGATCTTTCCATGATGATGGCTCAAACAAAATTGGATCAAAATTGGTCTCTAGTTTATTTGTTTGTAAAGTTGACTTTGATTTTGCCTGTTGCTACTGCAAGTATGTAAAGAACATTCTCCTCAATGAAGCTCATCAAAAATAATCTACACTGGTGAAGAATTTTTGAATTGTTGTTTAGTTTGTAAAATAAAATGGAAGATATTTGAAAATGTAAGTAATGATGCTATTATAGATCGTTTTCAATATATGAAGTCTCGTCGAGTACAATGGTAAACTGATTATATTTTTTGTGTTAATATAATTTTTTATGTTTCACTCGCTTAGTTATTGTAATTATAGATTTTTTGATCTTATCTTTAAAGCAATGGTGTATACGTTTTTTGAAATCCTAGATTCACCTCTACTTTTCGGAGTATAGAACACCTCAACTAAGTGGATCCACTAAGCTATGCTCGAAAGCAATAAGAAGTCATCTAAAAAGTATGATCATTTACCCATGCTGGCATACATGATTTATGAGAATTTTGAGTTGTCTGAACTCATCCCTATATCAGTGCTCAATACTACTCCCAATAATATATATACTCATGCTCAAATGTAGAAAACATACTCTTTCTTTTGTTACGACCCAGGGGTACACTATCAAAAAGAACCCTTCATAACTAGCCTCAAGTCATACTTGTGCAATGTATGAATAACATCTCATACTATCCACACTAAGTACCCCTTTAGGCTATAATGAATGCTCACTAGTTGGGGACTAGTCCCTCTTTTTTATTTGTCATTAGCCATTTAAGGTACTTCTCTATTTAGTACAAGGCAAGTAACAACACATGAATGAATTCTATTTCTCAATTCAAGGCTACCAAGGAATAGCACCCTAATAGGCTAGATCATGCTATCATTTTGCTAACATAACTATATCATGCTAAACTAACTACCTTGGAGGGCACACTAACATGCAAGTCCAAGCTATTCTAGGAAGGGTACAAGTGTTCCATCCTAGCTACCATTAAATAGTCTTAGTCCAACTAAGTCATGCTATCCCTACAAGCACACTATGATGCTAATGCAAGCTACCCTTAGGAGAGTATGATTCTCAATCCTAAGATACCCTTAAGAGAGTATGCCCTCTATTCTAAGCTACCATGACTAACCCTAACTCAAGCTACCCTTGAAATACATCTTATAATAAAAAGTCAAGCTACCATTAGGAGAGTATGGATCCTCAATCCTAGGCTACCCTTAGGATAGTGTAAGTCCTCAATCCTAAAGCTACCATGAAATGGTCTTGGCAAAACCAAGTCATGCTATCATGAAGGCATCCTAATAATGCTAGTTCAAGCTACCCTTAGGAGAGTATAAATCCTCAATCCTAGGCTACCATGACTACTCCTAACTCATGCTACCCTTGACATGCATCCTACAATCTAAGTCAAGCTACCCTTAGGAGAGTGTAAATCCTCAATCCTAAGCTATCCTATCTTGATCTTGTCTTACCAAGTCAAGCTACACATGAAGGGACCGTATATCACAACTTCAAGTTATTCTAGTCTAACATGCTTTGATTCATTTTAGGTTATTAAGCCAACCTAGAATCATTCTATGTGAGAGAACCTTGGATCTCCTAGCATATTTATGCCTAAGTGTGTAAGAGAGAAACAATTCACAACAAGATCATATAACAGTGGCTTTACCCCCAAATCCCTAACATTGATGACTACAAGCACTATTTTCAAGCTTTACTTCATACTATCATCTTTATACCTAGGTTTCAAGGTATTCTAATCACATTCCTCATTGGTAGGTGATTCTAGTCATAATTGATCATAAAGGTTCAATTTCATCTTTACAAGTCATGATCCATCATATGAATTATAATCTAATTCAATTCACTTTTATGTGTTCCTAACCTTGAATAAATACTACATGTGACATTGATTTTAGAAGATCAATTAGAATTCCTCAATTCCACCTCTCATGGCATAAACCCACATAATATCACATTCATCAATTAGGCTAGGGATATAAATCACATAAATTCATAACAATATCATCATTCAATTCTTATACAATCATAATTAGGTATTATCCACTAGATTAGAATCATACCTAATTTCTACCCACAATGTAGGAATAAACCCTAGCTAGAGTTGGGTTTTGACTTCACAATTGAGGGAAAACCTAGGGAGCTCTATGGGTGGAAGAGCCCATAGATGATTAAGCTAACATACCTCAATTCAAAGCCCTAACCAAGCTTGAAACAATGGAGGAAAATCCACCCATCTTTCTGCTCTTCTTCTTCTTCACTTCTAGAGAAAGAATTATTTGGTGAGAATTTGGGTTCTTTGAAGAATGAGTTAAATTATTTAGTTTAGGGGTCTATTAGGTATATATAGGTGGTTTAATAACTAACTAAACGACCTCCCTTAACCCATAACTAATTACTAATTAATTCCCAAACTACTAACTTAAAAACTAAACTTAAAAATCTGCCCGTACTACACCCATCCACGGACCGTGGATGGGTCTACTGCCCGTAATGCACACTCGTGGGTGTGGTACTGTGGCTAGACAAAGCAGGCCAACTCAGGCCTTGACCCACGACCCCAACCCACGAGGCGTGGGTCCACCTACGGCCAGTAGATGGCAGGCGTAGGTGCTGCCAACTTTGATAGCTTTTGGGCTGTTTTAAGGGTCCTCCTCAAGGACCCCTTGTGTGGTCCTTGGGGGGTCGTACCTTGACGCCCTAACCCTAAAACTTTCATTCTAGGTACGAGAATCATTTTTGTGAGTTTTAATCCTCATACCACACTCTAAAAGTCTTACGAAAAGCTCTAGAACTCTCTAGTTCAACTTACTAATTTCCAGGGCGTAATATATATCTTGTTTGAGATAATTGCTCAAACTGTTCTCTTAAAAGAGGTAATTACTCTGAAATATCTTTGAACTCATTAATTCGTTTAGAAATCAAAATTTCTTCTTCTCAATGTAAAAGCTTATAGCTTTGGGAATACTTAGTTCCCTTATACTCTTACGTAAGTCTTATTTGAAAACTCTTTCTCAAAACTATATCAAAAATCATATTGTGATCTAATCATTGTTGACTCGGTATGTCATACTACATAAACATTGATGGAATATCTAGTTACCAAACTGCTTAAACATTGATGACATACTCGACTGTCATACTAATCATGTTTTAAAACTCTTTTTCAAAACTCATCTTTGCTTTCTCAGAAAATCAGTTTAGGAGAAAAATATTTGCTTTAAAAGATTCTAAAAAATTATAACTCAAAATAGGGTTCATGGTGAATTATAGACATGAACAAATTAACTCAAGAATCTCAATAACAATATAGAAAACTCAATACTGGGAACTCAATAACTCATAACTCAACGATACTACTCAACTCAATACTTAATCAATAGGGTTCATGTTGAATTATAGGCATGAACGAGTCTACTCAAGAATCTCAATGCATAACATATAGCTACTCAATAATTAGGAATAGAATTTCAAAAAGAATCAGGAACTCAAGAAATCAAAATCAACTCATCTCAAGAATACTCAAATCTAGGGATAGAATCCTAGATTACTCTTTTACTGATTTGAAAGTAGATGTAGGGCGTGAGGACGAACTAGTCCAACACTATGATAACCTTACATACCTTTAAGAACAATGTTCTTGATTAGAAGCCTTGAAACCTATCTTGAAGGAGAAAAATCAAGAAAACCTTTCTTAAGTTTCTTGAAATATCTATGGCCAAGAATTAGAATTTTCATTAGTGATTAATAATTCTATGGAGTAATTTGAGTTGGAAAGAATGGAATTCTTGGAGAAGGACTTACCTTGAAGAAGAATCTTGGAAAAGATTGAAAGAATCTTGAATGAAAGTCTTCTACTTTGATTTTTCCTTAGGGTTGTCCCTTACGGTTTGAGAGAGAAGAGAATGAGGGATTAAAAGATGAATTCTGATTGTTTTGGGCATTTAATTAGTCAATAGATTCATTTAGGGTTTTATTAGAGGTAGAAAGTCAAAAAGGACCATTTTAATGTTTTCCCGTCGGCTAATTCGTCACTGCACTGTATCAGGTTGCTAAAATGGTCATAACTTTCTACTCGGAACTCAGATTGACGCAAAACTTATGATGTCAGAAAGAAGATTCAAATAATTTTAATTTGATATTTTATGGGGCACGTAACTCTTTATATTCTAAGATGTATGATCATTTGAAGTTGACCCAATTAGAATCTTACATCAAAACTTAATCGGTATGGAAGCTTTCAACTCAACTTTATGCTAGGGGGTTTTAGTGACCTTAATTCATATCCAAATCCATTATGAGTAATTTAAGAATCACCCAATACGACCTTACATGTAAATAAATTATAGTTCGGGGCTTAACTTGTAAATTTATTGGGGTGTTACAGTAATGATGTGATTTTTGTGATGAGTTTTATTATGTCTGTTTAATTTTGTGGTGGATCTTTACAATTTTTGTGGGAATGATGGTGATAATGTTATTCCGATGGTGGGTTTTATCATAGGTGGTGAAATTTGTGGCAGCTATTTTGATTTTATATGGTGAAATATATAGATTTGGTACTAATAGAGTGGCAATGGTAGTGGTTCCATGGTGGTGTTCACTGAATAAGAAGCAATTGAATGACATAGAGATTTTTTATTTTTTTTGAAATTTGACATGGCATCTGATGTGCCATTGAGATGCAATAAATGTGGCACGAATGTGATGCATCTCTCATTGTGAGAGTGGTGTTATACATCTCGGGGGGGGGGGGGGGGGGATAATTTCACTTTTGAGTAGTACAGATGTATAATATATCACCATGGTAGTTTAAGTGTGTAACTGACTTTTCGGGACAAGTTCATGGGTGAATTATGTCTTTTCCCAATATTATTTTGTAGGTATTAGATGTCAAAATAGCCAAAGAAGAAAACAATAGAGAAATTATCATAAAACTGAATCCACGACCTTCGATTGAGATATGACCGTGGATCCAATCGTGAAAATATTCAAAGAAGATGCAAAAAGAATGCTCTGCAAATGATCAAGTTATGGACCGTATGTCACATTTACAGT